TATAGAATAGTAGGCCCCTGGGAAATTGGGTGTTGTAAAGTATAATACTTTGGAAAGACTGAAATAAATTGGAGACTTTAAAATTTTTTTGTGATATTAAAATGTAAAGTGAGAGATAAGTTAAAGCAACTCTAGTTGAGGAGTCAAGCCTGTTAGTTTGTAGAATAAGCTCAAATTTGTAGTGGAAAACAATTTTCTGAAACGTGACTAGGCTGGTTTCTGTACTATTAGGGGCAGGAACACCTCTCTATTAAAAGTGGTTTGCTTTTTAATAGGGTTTAACCATAATTGTCCAGTTTTTGCTGGTTGTTCAAAATAGTTCTACCTCAGGTTGGCCAACTATTGTTGGCTTAATCTCAGTTGCTACGAGCATTCAACAGGAATGTTGCTTTAAGCTTGTCTTTCAGTGAATCACATGTTTGTACAGTAACAGATTTGTTTGTTAAATGAACTTAAAGACATAAAGAGATGAGCCAGTGTTCAGGGTGAGTTGCCTTCTGGTCCATCTAGAACCATCTTTGTCTCTAAACTGTCCTATTTTAATCAAAAGGAATATTTTTACAGGGAAGTACAGCTCTAAGATGTGCATCAGTGTGATCCCAGTTTTTGTGTCACTGACTCTGCTTGTTCCTGTTTAAACAAATAGCAAATCCCATGAGAAATCCCATAGCCCTTGCTTGTTCCAGCATTTCTATTGCTTTTGCCATAAATTTATCGATTCTTTTGGCATTCCTGCTCCATGTGAGCAAGCAATGCTGATTTGGACTTGTATCATCTTACGGTGCTGTAGTAAAGATGACAATGGAGTATTTTCCAAATGTCAGTCACATACTTTCTGTCTGTTTTTTGTAGGTACATTTGCTAGTCTCTCTTGTATGCTGTCTTTTCTCGCAGTTGCTTGCCTTTTTGTCCTTCCTGCTCCTAAATCCCTCAGTTACACTAGGTTGGTGGAAACTGTTTAAATGTGCAACCCAAATTCTCCAGTGAGGTTTGGCTAACCAACAAGCTATTCAAGTGGTTTTGTCTCCCGGGTATGTCTTCATCCTCTGCTTTTCCAGGTTGCTTGAATATCCTTGAACCCATAATTTACCCTAATCTCCTCTAAGGCTTTGAAATAATAAAATACTTAAATAGAACTCTTTGGATAAATGCCCTTTAAAATATAGCTTTATCTGTGAACTATCACGCTCTCAAGGGAGTGGATTTTGTTCCTCAGACGATTAAGGGGATTTTCTGTCCACTGTGTTACTGTGGTTTGTCCACTGTGATCAGGCATACCCATCTTAACTCCTGCAACAACTCAAAACAGAAAAGATGAGGAAAGTCTGGGAGAAAAATGGGACAGAGGCTAGACTGTTGCTGTGTGTGATTTTTTTTTTTTTTTTTTTTTTTTTTTTTTTTTTTTCCTGGTGCCTGGGTTCAGTTCCCTGATCTACCACATGATTTTCTGTGGGTCACGAAGCCTTCCTGTGCTTTTGAAAAATAATTCTCTGCTCAACGGGGATGTTGCGGAGGATAAATTAAGGGTGGCAAAGTGCCTAGCCATTACAGAGGGGTAGTCTTACACACAGAGAAAGGCTGTACTCAGATCCTTACTTCACAAAATAGGAAGAGGGAGATCACTTGACTTGCCATCATCAAATCCACAGGGGAAGTCTGAGGCAGAGCAGGGGACTGGATCCAATTTTTCTGCCAGAGGCCCCATGTGGTCCATTTTTCCTTGGAAAATCTTTTTCAGAGTCCTGCAGATGCCTCCCAGGCGAGAAAGGGAGGCTTGGAGGACCTCCCTGGGGCCCCCGTGCTGCAGCTCATTGGGGCACCGGGGCAGGCCCTGGAGACCACAGAATTTGGAGAGTGGTCAGCATCATGGAAGCCTGTCTTCACTGTTGTTCGTTTTGCAGGTGAAGGGAGATGACGTCAGTTTTTCTCCCTTCCCACTTAGCTCAGCTAATTATTAATTTCTGGCAGCAAGAAGGATCTGCAAAACAGCACCGAAATGGGGGGAAAAGGAACATCTCTTCTCCACTTTTGGAGCTCTATGGCTAAATTCCAGGACCAAAGGTTTTTGGGGATTGTGTGTAATTTGTGAATAATTTGCTTCTAAAGCTAATTATTGTTAAAAATGAAAAATTGCTCAGAAATGTCAGGAAAAGGAAGCTTTCCTTTTTACGTTACTGCACCACTAAAATATAAAAATTCTGGTCAAAATCCTACCATATGACTATTATTTTAAAGTGATACCTTTGAGATTGTCTCTCCATTTTCAAGCATACTCTCCAGAAAGACGTCTGCATTTCTTCACGTTAAGTGATAGGAAATGCAAATAGACCACAGTTTAAGTATGAAGATTATGGAGATTTATGACTCCATACATTTTTTTTGTGTAATAAAATGCAGGGAAACTGTATGTAGCAAATGTTTTCTGATTTGTTTAGCTTGTACTACTATTCCCTGTTCAAATACTACTCTGTCCTCTTTTTTTTCTTGACATTTTGCTCCTAGTAGTCTCAATTTCTAATCTGAAGTTCAAAATTTTTTGTACTCGAGGTTTATGATGATGAGGTAGCAGCAATGAATCCAGTGCTTTAGCTGGATGAAGACCTTTTCTGAGGCACCTCCTAATGCTTAGGAGAATGATTATCTCCTGGTAGCTATATGCCTTGCTTAGTTTTGTGCTTATTTAGAAAGAGCAAAAGGATAGACAGATTCATCTGAGGACTTACTGAGTTCACCTCCTCCCTAGTCCCTGCTTTTCAGGAGCTCAGAAGATAAAGAACTAGCTTTGGTTTTGGCTGTCTTTGTTTTTGGCAGGCATGCAGCCACATCAGAACCGGTGAGTTTTTGGCAGCATGTTTCAGGGTGAGCAGCTCCTGCTTTTCACAGTGCCAAGGATGATGCCAAACTTATGAGCCTTGCCTGCAGTCTTGGCGGTGGAGGGATGAACAGTTAAAACAGTTTCGGTGTGGCTTTGTGGCAGTCTAGAAAGGGGAGCGTCTCTTGAAATTCATAATGGGAACAACCTAAATTACTTCTGTCAGCCTATAGCCTCTCACTGTCTTCTGGAGAAGATGAGATGGAATTTCTGAGAAAGGGGGAATGTGTGGTGCAATGGGCAGAACCAACAGGGTTTGTGCAGCAGGGACTTCACAGGGCTCTCCAGTGTGAGAGGAGAACATGAACAGCCCTGTGACAGTCCAGAAAAAAAATACTGTAGCCCATGAGTGAGCCACACTGGTGCAAGGACAGCCCCCAGGGACTGTGGCCTGTGGGCAACCCATGCTGGGGCAGGGACACCCCTGGGGGTTTGTAGTCATGGGCAACGCATGCCAGGGCTCAGACGATGCTCTACACAGCAGTCAGAAGTTTTTTGTGGTTGGTAACAAATTAAATGAAATTATTTGGCTCCGGACTGTTTTGCACATAACACATAGCCTGTTTCAGGTTTTGTCTTTTCTGCTCATCCATGGTGGGGCACTTTGGAATGGCAGCTGAGCCTCATAGAATCATCATAGCATCGTTTAGGTTGGAAAAGACCTTTAAGATCATCAAGTCCAACTGTTAACCTAGCACTACCAAGGTCAGCGCGAAACCATGTCCCTAAGCACCACATTCACATGTCTTTTAAATACCTCCAGGGATGGCGATTCCACCACTTCCCTGGGCAGCCTGTTCCAGTGCTTGACAACCCTTTTGGTGAAGAAATTTTTCCTAATATCCAATCTAAACCTCCCCTGGTGCAACTTGAGGCCATTTCCTCTTGTCCTATTGCTTGTTACTTGGGAGTAACAAGCTCCTTACTACAAGCTCCTTTCAGGTAGTTGTAGAGAGCGATGAGGTATCCCCTCAGCCTCCTTTTCTCCAGACTAAACAACCCCAGTTCCCTCAGCTGATCCTCATAAGACTTGTGCTCCAGGCCCCTCACCAGCTTTGCTGCCCTTCTCTGGACACGCTCCAGCACCTCAATGTCCTTCTTGTAGCGAGAGGCCCAAAACTGAACGCAGTATTGGAGGTGCAGTCTCACCAGTGCTGAGTACAGGGGGGATGATCACTTCCCTGCTCTTGCTGGCCATGCTATTTCTGATACAAGCCAGGATGCCGTTGGCCTTCTTGGCCACCTGGGCACACTGCTGGCTCCTATTCAGCTGCTGTCAACCAGCACCCCCAGGTCTTTCTCTGCTGGGCAGCTTTCCAGCCACTCTTCCCCAAGCCTGTAGCGCTGCATGGGGTTGTCATGACCCAAGTGCAGGACTCCATTGTGCATGTTGTAAGAATGGTCTCACTGGAAAAACTGCAAGCTTATAACATTTCCCTTTTCAATCTTGGCATGTATTTTTATAGGCAAGCATATGCACAAATACAAATATTTCTATAAAATGTATCTGAAATTTCTGTTTTGTTGATAAGTCTTTAGATTTTGAATATGAGCATTGCAAGAATAAGTGATCTGTTGTGTTCATAAGGTGCTTCATAAGATTCTCCTACCTCGCTCATTTTCTCGTCAGACCTCTTGCACTGAGGCCATTGGAGATGTTATGGGTACAACTTTAGATGAGTATCGATGTTAATAATCCTATTTGGATCTTAGAACAGACTTTTCAGCTTGTTATTGTAGACTAGTTAATACATAGCTAATAAAATAGACAAGTTTCCATAGCTGTCTCATTTTTGTTGTGAAGAATATTTTTGCCATCACTGTTTTTGCTCTAAAGACTCCAAGCTGCTGTTCCCAGCTTCATAATGGTTGAAGGAGATTCAGAGATTTCCTAAATGTGATAGTGGATTTAGTGTATGTTACAGAAATGTTGCAATCACTACCACTTCAAAGCACCAGCTGGATAACCCCAGATACGATGAATCAGCTAGTATTTGAATAGGCTAAAAAGGCAGAGCTTGCTTTTCAGTTTTGGGTAATACTTGTATGTCTTCCCTGGGGAAGGGGATCACAGACCAGTTTTCTGCATGGGGAGAGCATTCCTACAGCATTAATTTATTTTTTCTAGTTTTTGAGAGTGGACCAAGACAAAGACAGAGAATGCAGCCTGGACTGTGCAGGTTCCCCTCAGAAATCACTCTGTGCATCTGATGGAAGAACTTTTCTGTCCCGGTGTGAATTTCAACGAGCAAAATGCAAAGACCCTCAGCTGGAAATAGCCTACCGGGGCAACTGCAAAGGTGAGCAAATCAAAGTTTCTCTTGACCATAATGAAAAATAATAGACTAAATACTTTTTGAAAATGTCTTTGTATTTAAGAGTCCTGTACTTGAAGGGGTTTCTAAAAGCAAGTAGGTTGAAATCCATCCTGTTAATTCTATAACAATATGCTACCTAAGGATTAATTAATCTTCTTCCATCAGCAAAAGTATGACTCCTCCACCCATTTATGCTATAATGAGTCACTATTAAGGAAATTGCAAGGTTAGGTTCTTGTTCTGAAGGGCCATATCATTGGCAGGCTCAGAGTAATTCTCAAGATAGTTATCTCCTGAGGCTTCTTGTCTACTGCAGTTTGGTATTTTGAGTTAGAGATGGCCAAATTCAGTCTTCTGTTTCCTAACTGCAATCATTTAGTCGGGGCGGGGGTGGGGGGGAAGAGGAAAAAAGAAAAAAAGGAGAAAAAAAAAAAAAAGGTTTGTAATGCTTAGAAGGGCCCTCATAGGCTACTTCTACCTACGTTATCCACTCTTTCACTTCTGATCTCCGTTTAGAGAAACTGTGTAACATGCAACCATAGCACTTCAGTTCCAATACTTGGGAAGTATTCACAGTTAAATTTTTTCATTTTTATAGTAGCCTGGTGCTAGAGAACACAGTTCCTTACTGAAGTGTAGGATGATTCCCAACACAATGATCTTCTTTCTAAAATGTAAGAATAGCGGTGGTCATAAAGATTTACTTTCCCTTTCTCTCTGTCCGAAAGAGGGGGGTGGGGGGGGAGAAAACCCCAGGGACCAACCACACTGATTCAACCTCTAGGAGGCAATTTTCCACATCATCTCTCTCCATTAGCTCCAGTAAACCTCTGAAGCATCAAGACTGCTTCAAAGAGACATTCTGTCTCATCTTCTGCCTGGGTGAAATACTATGCTCATTCTTCAGCCCTTTCATAATAAGCCATTGTATTAGCTGATGGATCTATTTACTGTTGCGAACAAGGATAACATAATGAAGCTACCTGAGCCAAAGCTTTTGTTACACGCAGGAACAGCAGAGAGAGTTATTGTGCACTTTCTATCTGTCCATTTTATACATTAGAGTGTTATACACTTTTATGGAAATTAGTTTTGAGTGTTTTTCTTTATTGTTTTTTTCCTCTTACCATATTGACAATGTCATCTGCAAGAAATTTTTTCCATAAAATGTGTTGAATTGCCCTGCTGAAGGTGTCCTTAGCGATGCTGGCAAATTTTACTGCAGTTAACAACTACAATTTGGAGAAGTGCTCATCTGCTGTTTATTTATTAGTGAATAGTGTGTCAGTACAAATGTAGGCTTGGAATTAAACATCTCATGCAGCTTAAGTATTGCTTATAGCAAGTACACATCATGCCCTCATCAATCAGCTGTTTTTAATCTTTCAATTAAATGAATGCAAACATCCCTCTAATGTTTAAATATTTTTTCCTTTGATTGGCAATAGACACGATTGCCAATAATGTACTTGGTCAATAACAGCAAGAGACCAGTGCTCTTTTAAATTTTACATTTTCATAGTATTTCTTATTCCATCAAAGCAGTCTTAAGTTTTGAAGTGACCAGTGTCTTTATTCCTACCCATGGCTGCAATCATCAGAAATATTTCAAGCTGTAAAAACAAGTTTTAGAGAAGAAAAAGATGATTCATTGGCCTAGCTGCAGTTTCAGTTTTAGCATTGCTAGAGCTACTTTTGATAGTCCCATCAAACATTCTACTGAAAGAGCTAAGGAAGTCCTCAGATTAAGACCTCTTTTGAGCCAGTTGCTTTTGAGTGGTGAAATTTGTTGTTGCAGGTGATGCTTGACCAAAGAGCAGAGGGTTATTTTAGTAGGGCTAACCAAAAAGTGATGGTTCCATTTCAGCGCAACTTTCAAGGTTTCAGAATTTGCTTTCATTCTATGTTTCCTTTTGGAAGTGTTCACCTGTCCTCCTAAAAAACCAGACAGCCCACCCTACCCCCAGCCCCCCATTAAAACGTTGGTGTTGAAGCAAGTTTTGAGGTGGCTAATGCAGGAAAAAGGGAAAGAAACATGCACATTTGCTTGTGGAAGTTACAAAGGGAGAAAAGAGACGCTTCTTGGTGTAGGATTCACAACTTTAAATCTGTGTCTGATATTCACCCATTGTTGATCAGAAAAGGCAGTCTTATGTCTGTGTCTGTCTCCTCCTGTCGTCTTCTCAGGTAAAAATCCCTGTTCACTGCACAAAAATCTTGCCTGAAAATTAAATACTTCCAGGTACCATTTTAATTAGTTGAAAACATGGTGACCAGCTTTTTTTTTGGTTCAGTCTATTCATTGGAAATCTAAACACCTTGACAGTTTATGTCGACAACCTTTTGGAACAATTTTGAGTCCATCATTTCTTGTTTATATGTTCAGAACTGTGATTTCTTTTTACATCCATACAGAAGTTTGAACCACCACCAGGCTGATGGCTGCTTTCTCTGTATCTTTTTTCTGGGAAAGCCAGATTTAAATAGACTGTCTTTTCTCCTCCTCACCTATTCTCAACATTTGTCTCATCTATTTGGTTTTGGTCAATTAAATACTAAAATTGCACAGGGTAGTTTGCTTTAAATATGCTTGTTTTCCTTTCTTAATCCAAGTTTTGTTCACAGCAACAGTGCTCAGCCCAGGTAATTCTTTAGCATTGCAAAGGAAACCATTTTTAGATTCCGGATCTTAAAACTAAATGACAGAAAACTGGCAGGATTTAAACCATTTTCTTTTCTTGCACTCCTGTCCTTCTAGTTCCTGATGGCTGCAGCTGAGATCAAAACAGCTTAAATAAACCTGAAAATGAACAAACCCTGACCCTTCCTCTCAGTTCTGAAAAACAACTTGCGTTTGACAAAATAAGCATCAAAATAGGCTGTTCTGATAGTGTTTTTTCCTGAAGACATTACAAAGTTTTATACTATTTCTCTCATTTTTTTGCAGTCCACTTCCAAGCAGTGCTGGAATCCATTGCTGAGCTTGGAAATGCTATAAGAAGTTACAATCTTGTAAAATTTCCAGCCTGCTTTTGCAGTTTCAAAGGTCTCAAATAATCTGCGTACACTGTAGGTGAACATCCACATTTTGGGATAGTTTTCCAAACAAAATCTTAAACTCTGAAGTTCTGGAGATTTGCCACTTGCTTGACACAGACATTTACTGTGCAATGAGATTATGAATCTAATAAATAAACGTATGTTGACAGCTGAGAAATATTATTTGTGTTAAGGGGACCGTTAAAATATCACCGGTGATGAGGATCCACTACATGTGCACACAAACGCTTCACAGTAAATCTGGCCCAGCACAGCCAAAGCAACAAAACGTACAAGAAGTGGAGAAGCAATATGATTGCTTATAAACTGGCCAGAAAGACACGGAGGCTATGTCTCTGCTAATTAATTAAGCAGTGCCAGGACACGGTAGGACTGTCTACGCAGGTCCCTGTTGCACTCTGAGCACGGGCCAGCTCGTACCTTCCCGAGGACCATACCTGTGTGGCTCGGGGTTGACGGGCCAGGGTCTGTTCCCAGTAGGCAGCATGCACAGAGCCACCTTCTTTTAGGGGTTTAAGGCTGTTCAACCTGCAAACTGAGGCCAGCTACTCTTGCAGGACTGCTTTGGCACGTGCCAGGGTAGATTATTCCTATGACTGATACAAACTCGGACAGGAGTCCTTTGAGCGCTCAGCCTTGTTCCCTCCAGTATGGCTGGGGAGGATGGGACTGGAGAGCTCTGGATGTCGCACAGGAAGGCTTTGCTACTTAGGGAACCGAGCCTTCGATGCTCTTTGTTAGTGCATGCAAAAAGTGCAAGTTGAAGTTTCTTCGTCTTGAAAATGGGACCAAATGTGCAGAAGTATCAAGTCTACAGAAAAAAGAGGGAAAAGCATTATTCTAAAAAGGAAAAAAAACCCCTTTTAACTTATATCCCTGAATGATGGAGTTGCCCATTGCGAGTAGGAAGTGTTGCCCAGCACTGCAGTCTCCTGCAGGGCCAATAGCTACAGTTTTACATTTAATGGGGATTTTATGTGATTTGGAACATGGTATACGTTACTGCAAAAGGCTATGCTTGTATGGAAACTAAAATGCACAAGACATCAGCTAAAAGCCTCTTCCCTAGCAGAAATGGGAGAGGCACTGCTAAGTGAGGGTCTCCTGTTTTATCTTACAAATGTAAAGCTGAATGTCTGTTACAAATCATTACTGATTTGTCAGATAAGACTACCTGAAACAAGTTGTTTTGTTTTTTTCATGGAGCATCTTGTACATCCCACATGAAGAGGTCTGCGTTGTTTCGTGTTTTTTTTTGTTTTTTTTTTTTCTTTTTCTTTGTTAACTGTTCAGAATTACTCTGTAAAATTTAGTCTTATCACTGTAGAATGGCATTTTATAAAGAATACTCGAATTTTCTATTGTCATGAAAATTTTGCATTATAAATACCAAAAAAAAAAGGGGGAGAGAATGCTTCAACCCATTTCTGCAGACTCCTATCAGTTTCATCTTTGCTAAAATCTATCAGGTTTGCTACCTATTTATTCTGCACTACTGAACAAGTTTTTTCCCATGAAGTTTGAAAATGTGAACTCATATTTTTCCTACAGCAGTTTTCAAATAATTTTAGGCTTTTCAAGTAGTTTTCTGTGGCAGTAAATAACGTGTATTAACTTTGAAACCTAAAATTATGATGCTGGGTGGAGGCGAGTGGGATTGAAGGTTTTTTTCAATGAAACTGCCTTTTTTTGACATGACAACAAGCTTTAGTCCTAGCTGGCTTAGTGGAAGATTTTCTGTGGGATTAATGGAGTTTTTCAGACTTCAGAAACTTTGAATAACTCCATTCCCATTGAACAGCTTTTCATCTCCCATCTCGGCAACTTCAGGTCTCAAGTGTAGAAGGTCTGCTAGCGGATTGCATCTTGTTCAAAGCGAGCAACCTCTGTACCAGGAGTGTCTAGTGGAGGGATCACGGTTT